AAACAGCTGGAGATAATCTATTAGAAGAATATTTAAAGGTCATAATTGATTTTAAAATAAAACTAATTTCACGTGGTTTAATTAACAACATTATTATGTTAGTTGAGCCAAGAGAAAAGTGAGCTGTGTCTATGGCTTTACCACCTCTATGAAAGTGAAACGTAAATATTACATCGAATTTAAGCCAGTCGTTTTTAAAATATACACTTCTCAGAAGTGTTAACTTTCAATTGCTAGACAGTTTTTTTTTTTTTTGTGTGACTTTTAAAAAGGTGAGTTGCGTTTAAATGTGTGTTTCCAATTCTTTACTTTGCATGTCAGTTTGGTATACAATAAATGCCACTTTCACTGATATTCCTTACGTTTATATCAGATTTGTTTTATCGTTTAAACCAAGGTTTTTCTAAGTGGCCCGTGACTTTTGACGGTATATATATATATATATATATATATATATATATATATATATATATATATATATATAAATTCTAAATCCGTATATTATGTCAACATAACTGCTTTCTCATGTTAATATGATTGTGAGTTGATTTATAATTCTGATTTCCTTTACCCTCAGATTTAAAGACACAATTTCAAACCTTACGCCATTTCAAGTACATCGCATGTTTCAATTTGAGAGGTTTAACTGTTTGGGCGAGAAAAAGATTGCGTCAGTAAGTTGCTACCCGCTTATAGTGGCGAGTCCTTAAGGGTTATAACGGCTGCATATCACAATCAACAGCAACCGAAAAAAGACTTCTATCATTTAAAAATATGTAGCTTGGACATTTTCTAGAAGATCTACTAGGCCTACTTGACTAAACATTGACGAAGTATTTAAATGTGGAGATTTTATGAGAATCCACAAGAGAAGTGTTATTAGGCTTTTAACATAGGCAATGTAGAATATCTCTACTACTGCTAAAATACATGCGATTCCAAGAATTAGACACATACAGAGAAAAAAGAGAGAGAGAGAGAGAGAGAGAGAGAGAGAGAGAGAGAGAGAGAGATTCGGATAGGCATTATATTAAGTAACATGCAACTGATCTTAGGACGTATAAAATTGAATTTATGCTACAAATTATTTTTAAAACAACATAAAATGCAGAAATATTTAACGTCTTCTTTATTTATTAGTTCGTTCAGCTTTCATTTAAGCATGCTATAACCATCGTGCAATTTCTCCATCTGTATTTTCCTGTTTGAAACTTCTAAAGACGCATCATGTTTTGTTACGCTTTCTCTGACGTTGACAACACTAGGAGACATCACTCAGTGTTTTGTTTGTATACATGTCAGATTTTTAAAAAAAGTTTTTTTCGGACTTCTTGCCAATCTGTATGTATAACTAATTACCTCAGTATTCGCCATGCCCATCTTTGAAAACACGCATCAATTCAATTATTCACTATTTCATGCACCCCTACATATAATTGCGATGAGAGAGACTAACACTGGAGACATTATAACACACATCAGAATAGAAAAAAAAAGTGATTCTTAGAAACTCTACCGGAAAACTGAGTAATACGATAACTGAAAAGATTTTTTGAAGAAGAGATAAAAGTAGATAACCTGCTTCTTGACATTTTTACTGTTTCGGAAAAAGAACTGATAGGTTCTGTCCTAGATCGCAAGATTAGAAGGACCATAATCGCCAACGCCAGAAGGGAACTATATATATATATATATATATATATATATATATATATATATATATATATATATATATATATATATATATATACTAACTGTACCCTGTTATGCAGGGCTGTGGATTGGTTTGGCTAAATGCAAAGCAGAGAAAGTAGAAGGAGCACGTGTCTGTTATGGTTAATTTCGCAATCATTATCTGCGCAGAGAAAATGATAGTCTGTTGGTGGACTCTAGAACACTTGTAAATAAGCATCAACAAGAAAAAAAAATCACCAGCAGTACTGAAGATTCAAACCCGGGTCTCCCGCACGGAAGCCCATATTTGTAACCGTTTAGCCGTGAAAATCAACGAAAAAATCAACAAATATGTTTATGTTTGAATTCAAGAGATGCGTACCGAAGCATGTACGAACGTGGCTTAAATGAAATGTCACTGTAGATGTTTCACTGGAAAATAAAATTTAAATTTGACTCCACTCACAAGGAAATGCACAGAAACTGCGCTTAAATTGTTTTGGAAAGCCGCTAAACGATATGAATCCATTTTGTGCGTTTGTAAGATTTTTTGAGAAAGTTTTCATCGCCACATATTTCAAACTATGACAGGTAGCATTTCTACATCACAACAAACATATCATGTTCAAACGTATCCGAGTCTTTGGGTAACAAACAGACAAACATTGCCTTTTAAATATATACATATTAGGATATTAATAATAATAATACACGCTAGACGATATTTTAGAGCGTGTGGTTTAGGCGGCATGAGAAAGTCATCAGATAATGTGTAGACGTTTTTCGGTGCTAGATTTAGAGAATTGTTTACACTTGTTGAAAGTTACATAGTTAAAATATGTAACTGAAATAAATAAAAAATTTATTATTTTTCTAGATTAACAGAACTCAAAACCGCAAGCGGTTATACTCTCATAAATATAGATCAATGAAGTAACTTCAAAAAATACTGAAACTTCACAGCAACGTGTTTTGGAAAATAAATATACATCGCTGTGCAGGCCCGTCTATTATTTTGCCCACGAGGGGAAAAAACACCAGCCGAAAACAGGATTCAAACCCGGATCCTACACGTGAGCCCAGCGTCCTAACTGTTCCGTTAGCCGCTCCTCCAATAAAAAAAACAATGAAAACATTTGAGGGGCGCGCCCCGAATATTGCGCCTGTGCATGTACGAAAGTGGCTTTAATAATTAAAATACTGTAGAAGAAATAAAAATGTTCATTCATTCAGTAGCATGTCCCTCGCGGAACCTCGCTGCCATAACAACCCTCCGGAAAACCTTCCTATCCTGAGCAAGATGTCCTGCGTCTGATACACCCATCTAGAGATCATCTGCCACATCCTGCACCCATCTTCTCCTTGGCCTTCCTCTTCCTCTCTTCCCAGGCATATACCCCTCCATTATTGTTCTCTCTAGACTTCCATGACGTTTCAAGTGACCAAAATATTTCAATTTTCTTTGTTTTAGTGTCTTTACTAGCCAACCCTCTTCAATATTCAGCTCTTGAAGTATGGATGCATTTGTTCTTTTCTTTACCCAAGATATTCTTAGAACCTGTCTGTAACATTTATATTCAAATGCATTTATGCGCTGTTTCGCTTGTTTAATAAGTGTCCAGGTCTCACAGGCGTATGTTGCAATGGGAAAGATGCATGCTCTTAAAAATCTGACCTTTGTAATTCTATCTGTACAATTCCATAATTTATTCAGTTGTTTAAGTCTTTGAAGAGCAATTGATAGTCGCCGTTTAATTTCTTTCATTGTGTCACCATTGTTGGTAACCAGTGACCCAAGATATTCGAAATTTTCCACCACTTCCAATCTTTCCTCATTAACATATATTTCCTTCTCCATGGCAGTTTTGTTTGTATGCATTATCTTTGTTTTTGCCATGTTAGCTTGTTAAAAATGTTAGCTTGAAATTTTTTCCGAACAAATTTCGCACCTTATTTCAAACTATGGCAGGTAGCATCCACAAATCAATACATGCATATCCTAAAAATTTCAGGTAAATCGGTTCAGTGGTTTCCGAGTATATAGGTAACAGACAAACATTGCTTTGTATACATATATATATATATATATATATATATATATATATATATATATATATATATATATATATAATGGCATCCGTCAGTCCCGGGGGACTATGGAGATGTGCCGCTGGCTTTGGGAACAGCATCTGCTGTGACTGTAATGTTTGATGCGGGAATGGCAGCCTTTGCCACACAGGATACACACAAAAACAGATACTCCCTCGTTGTGAGGCAGTTTTACTCTCCGGTGTCTCCTCTCCACAGCTCGTTGTGTTCGGTTTCTTTCAAAATGTGACAGTCCGTCTTTCACTCTCTGTCTCCATAGTAGTCGATCTGCAGCTGATTTTTCCCATGTCTCTGTGCCTATGTTGGTATCTATTAGGTCGCGTTTGCATACATCTTTATAGCTCAGCTTTGGCCTTCCTGTAGGTCTATTCCCAGTTACCAATTCACCATATAGGAGATCTTTTGGAATAGGACCATCCTCCATGCGGGAGACATGTCCCAGCCAGCGCAAACGTTTTTGCTTCAGTATACAATACATTGATGGTATTTCTGCTCTTGTGAGCACACATTCGTTGGAGACTAGGTCTCGCCATAATATACCAAGGATGCGTCTCAAACAGCGCATACACAAGGTATTAAGTCTTTTTTCCTGTGGAGCATAGAGAGCCCAGGATTCGCAGCCGTACAGTAATGTGCTCAGGACACAAGACTCATAAACCTTCATTTTTGTATTGTCAGTTAGCTTTTTGTTTGACCAGACTCTCTTTGTGAGATTTGCAAACATAGCAGAGGCCTTTCCTATACGTTTGTTTATTTCTGCATCCAGAGAATGATTGCCTGAGATACGTGAGCGTAGGTACTCAAACTCATGTACAGCCAGCAGCTGATGGTCATACACACTAATGTTTGGTGGATTTCCAACATTCAATCCCATCACTTGTGTTTTGTTCAGACTGATGGTAAGCCCAAATTCTTTGCAAGCATTTGCAAAGCGATTCATCAGGATCTGCAGATCATCCTCTGAATGTGCTACAATGGCTGCATCATCCGCAAACAGAAAATCCCTGAGGCATCTCGTGTGCACCTTCGTCCTCGCACGTAGCCTGGACAGATTAAAAAGATTGCCATCTGACCTCGAACGGAGGTATATCCCCTCAGTTGCTGTCCCAAATGCACGCCTCAATTATGCATTAAAAAAGATGCCAAACAGCGTGGGAGCCAGAACACATCCTTGCTTTACTCCATTTCGAATCTGGAAGGGTCGGGATGATGAATCCTCATATATGTGTTGTGATTGGGATTAACTTCACTTTGCTGCACACAAGGGAGTGATCTGTGTCACAATCTGCACTGTGATAGCTGCGAGTGACCTTAACAAGATGAAGGTGACTGCGTTTAGTGAGGATGATGTCAAGCTGGTGCCAGTGCTTAGATCTGGGATGTCTCCAAGAGACCTTGTGCTGGGGCTTCAGATCAAAAAAGGTATTTGTGATGCAGAGGTTGTGAAGACAGCATAGCTCAAGCAGCCTCTCTCCATTTTCATTCATTTTTCCTAGTCCAAAATGTCCCATACAGGATCGCCATGAGCTGTGCAGAGCGCCCACTCTTGCATTAAAGTCACCCAAAATGAATAGGGCTTCCCTGTCCGGGACTTCGCTGAGTGTGGAAATGAGTTCCTCGTAAAATTTGTCCTTGGAGTCGGGAGAAGGGGGCAGAGTTGGTGCATAGGCACTTATCAGAGTGACTGGTCCAGCTCTTGTCTGGACCTGAATTTTAAGGATCCTTTCTGATCCTCCTGTAGGTGGTGTGGCAGTTCCAAGCAATCGGTTCCTTATCGCAAAGCCTACGCCTTGTTCCATGGACTCCGAAGATGGTTTTCCCTGCCAGAAGAATGTGAAGTCCTTCTCTTTGATGCTACCTGAGGAGGAGAGCTGGGTTTCCTGTAGGGCAACAATGTCTACATTGTTAATGACTGAAGTTTTCCTTAAATCGCTCATATGCTGCAGATCGTCCAGAATACCAGGTGTCATGGTCCTTGTGATGACCCTGCTTCGCATGGTCTCCACGAGTACATTGTGGCAAGCAGGAAGTCCGTGCTACAAGTTACGGCACGAGATACTTGTGGCCGTTGGAGTAAGCGAGGCGAAGCCCGAGCTAGCCTCGTGGTCAGTCGATCATCAGAAGTCAGGGAAGAAGGTCGTAGTAATTGAAGATGTAGTTTTTATGTCGCGAGAATGGTTAATGTTCGAATATGTCGCGAGTGATAGAATTGAGAATAATTGTTTAAGCATGTTGAATACATGGACCAGAATAAACTGACAGATTGTACTTTGAAGCTGAGTGGCGTTAGTGTGTCAACCCTAGACGTTGAAGCTGGTGCAAACCAAGATACATTTCAAGTCTACGTTTCGGATCATTTCAGTCCTCACGTTCCATGAGCCCAGCTTTAGAGCTTGGAATCTGATTTTTTGGCTTCTTTGTGTAGGTACAAGGATTACAATCCGTATGTCGGGTTATCCCCTAAGCCCTGTGCACCCAACAAGGCAAACGGATCGTGGCAGGACAACACCTTACTGACTGGGGGCTGCCCAGCTGGGGCGGGCGGTAGCTGTCCAATGAGGCTACGATGGTCTCTCCCATCGTCGGAAACAATCCCTGGCGCCTAGCTCTACGCCAATTGAGCAAAGGCTTTTAACCGGTGACTGCTGTTTCCCGTGTTGTGTCGAAACTGTTAAGCATCGCTGGAGTGACCTCTCCAGGGCACAGGCCAGGGCGTTTTGATTTGGAGTACATTATGTTGCCCAGGCAGCAAGTACCTCCTCTCTACGTCGCCGGTGAAACCAAGTAAGTAAAGTAAAGTTTCCTTTTCACGCCTTTCGGCACATCGGGCATATGGGCAGAGCGTCCCATATTTTTACAGACCATCAGCACTCTGTGGGTAATGTGGTCAGCATTACGCCGGCTGTCTTTACTTTCCGAGGACAGCCCATCCTGGTACCCATTTTAGGCTGGGTCGACCTGCGACGTCCCATACCACGACTGCAGTGGGTTTCGATCGCGGTATGCTGGCTTACGAGAACCAAGGGAAAAGCAAAAACCAGTACAACTTGACACCGAGGACGTTGTAGGAATTGCCGGAATAGCACTGTATACAATGCTAAACCGCCTCAGGGATTCCAGCTACGGATGTTTCCTCAGGGTTTACTCCCGAAGCGCTTTCCCAAAAATGGGTATGGCCACAAGGCAGTGGAGGTGTGTAGTCAGAGTTTACCTTCTCCTAGATGAGCTGCAATCCCGTGCTGGCGAGCCTAATCTACCCGAGGCGTCCGGTTAAAGCGCCAGAGACCCGCTTTCGCCCCTTCTCCTGTTAGTTTAAACATCGCCACGAGAAGGCCAGGAGTTGGACTTTTGCTGTCAGAGGCTTTGAGAGACGCATGCCTTGAGGGTATATCATGGAGACTGAGAGCTTATCCTCAGCCCCGCCTTCGGCGTAACAGCATTTGGAGACACACACACACACACACACACACACATATATATATATATATATATATATATATATATATATATATATATATATATATATATATATATATATATATATAATCGTGTGCCTTGCCGACTGGTGTGGGCGATCATGCCTCTCCACAATCCTCAATCTACTGCAGCATGTATCAGTTCGTGTTCTGACACACTTCCATGCCATGCAACAAGCTGTCAAGAATCTTCTCTCGTTGTCTTTAATTATCCCTCCAATCACTGATCTTTCCAGTGGTCACAACATGTTCCATTTTCCCTTTTTTCCTAACACAGCGGGAAAATGATGACTGTCTCCTTCTGAAGTCTGCGTTAAGTTGTCGTCAGGCTCCAGTCTCTTCCAAAACCTCTTGGATGCTCTTTTTAGATGTCCAATGTATTTTTAGCATTCTTCTGTAAAGCCACATATCTGAGGCCTCAAAAAATTGTTTGGCCTGCCTATCGATTGTCCAGGACTCTCAGCCACATGTTGAAAGTGGCTGTATATAGCAAGCATTTATTTTCTAACCTTTAATGACAGGGATATATTGTATAAAAGGTTTATATATATATATATATATATATATATATATATATATATATATATATATATATATATATATATATATATATATATATATTAAAAACCTCTATGCAGGGTATCTCTGTCACACATATATATATATATATATATATATATATATATATATATATATATATATATATATATATATATATATATATGTTGTTCGTCCATCACGAGTGATAAAGACTACTTTCATCCAAAGTAGTAATGATAAATGATTATGAGTACGAAGGTGGCTGATAAGTCTAATTTGAGCCAGTAAAGTTTTTAGCAGTGCGGACAACAGATGGGTGCCACAGTAGGTGTGAGATTAGCAGTACGATTCTCTTTAGTCTGCCTGCCTTTCTCTGCCTGTGCAACCTCCGCTGCCTGGCTGGCCGATGTACCTATGCCTGAGGTACGTACACCACCTACAACGGTCTCGCTAAAGAATAAAAACAGCAGTCATCAGAGCGTCCTTATTGCGCTTAGTAATATATATATATATATATATATATATATATATATATATATATATATATATATATATATATATGCACACACACACACAGATATAGTGGAGAATGAGGAATCCCTGACACTAACACGATTGCGTGACATGGGAGTAAAGCATGGTGATGCACCTCTTTGCCGTCTTGGAAACAATTAGAAGAGGTACTTTGGAGTGGCTGCTGCTTCGAGAACTGAGCACGCATGGGTATCCCCAATGTGCAGTGACATCAATTGTGACAACAAAACATAAAATAACATCTTGTAGGGAGTCGGCAGTCCGAAACCCAAGTTCAAGGTGTCTCCTTCGTGCCAAAGAACTACATGGCTGTTGGGTGAACAGTCGTTAACGTTACTTGATTAATTCATAATATTTAACGGCCTCAAATGGTTTCCCCCCCCCCCCTTTTCTGTTTATTTATAGGAATGACGTATACACACCGGAACCTACCAACAAATACCTTTCTTAAATGTTTGTGTATTCTAGACAAAGCAATAAGGTCTTACTGTGTTCGTAAATTGTTGCTGTGATTGTTATTCGACATTTTCTTCGTTAATATAAATTTCTGTAACCTATGGCGCCATTTCAATGGGTTGAAATGAATTCTGTCCGTATTCCATAGTCGTGGATTTCAAGCTGTACGATAGACATGGCCAATGAGACACCTTTTTTGGGGGGTGCCTAGTTGACCATGTATCTTAGTGCACTTGTATTCATGGCGAGGCGCAGACGCCGTCTGGAGGTGACAGGTTCAATTGCCGGCTCGGTAACTATAGCTTTCGATTTTTATGTTGTCTAGTGTGTTCTTCTATCTTTCTACTTCTTTCTATGAGTGCTGTTCACAATACTTTCTGTTACTTGATTAACGAAGGCAGGCAGGTCGTTGTAGGGGCGACGCCTGCTGGGATGTAATGTCCTAAGTCCCTTCCCCAGCTAATAATGAGGGTACTGCTGGGGTGACCGTTTATTAACCCTCAAATAATGCTTGAGGTCAAAATGGACGCTATGCACGGCCACCTATTTTTTTTTTTTTTTTGGGGGGGGGGGGAGACGGTGGATTTTGCATTTCTGCTTCATTTGTAGATATTGATATACAATGAGATCTTTAGTTGAAATGCCCGAAATTGTGGTTGGTGGGCACAATATAAGCAATTTACGTTGTGCTGTTGACACATTATTGATAACAAGTCAGAAAGAACTACAGGAAATGATAGACTTTGTGGTGTTAGAAAGTGGAAGAATGGGCCTCAGTTTGAATAATGGGAAGACAGAAGTAATGGAGGTATCAAAGAAAAGATTTATTCCTCAATGTGTAATAAAAGTTGATGGGGTTATTTTAGGACCAGTACAGATGAAAGAAGCATAACTCAAATTAAAAAAAAAACAGAAAACTGGCAAAAACTGCATTTTTAAGAATGAAGAAAATCTTGTGCAATATATCCTTGTCATTGAGAGTTAGAAAAAGATTTCTTGCTTGCTACACACATCCAGTTTTAACATATGGCTGTGAATCCTGGGCAATCGGTGGGCAGGCCAACAATTTCTTGGGGCCTCAGAGATGTGGTTTTACAAAAGAATGCTTAAAATACTTTGGACAGCCAAAAAAAAGTAACCAAGAGGTTTTGAAAGAGGCAGGAGCCGGAAGACATCAGAAGAAGACAGTCATCATTTTTTGACTATGTTATGAGAAGAGGGAAAATAGAACATGTTGTGACCACTGGAAAGATCTGTGGAAGGAGGGATAGAGGAAGACAACGACTGAAGATTCTTGACAGTCTTGTTGCATGGCATGGAGGTATGTCAGCACACGAACTGATACATGCTGCAGGAGATCGCAGATTATGGAGAGGCATGATCACCCACGCCAGTCAGCAAGGCACCTGATGATGATGATGATGATATCTGCAATGTTGTCTCTTGTATGAACTTCACTGTTTTTTTTTTTTTTGTTCAATTCAAATACTGAATTTCAATATATACTGAAGATTGGTTCTAATCGCCTATGGACTTAGCTAAGTGCAACGAGGACAATCTTTCGATTAACTATAACCTTTCACTATGCTTTTGGATGCCTACTATGGCAGTGACTAGACGCTTACCTACTCACCTGAAGGTCTTGAAGTTGAATCTGCTCCAGGAATGATTTTAAAATATGAAATTAGTATCACGTGACCAGTGCGTAAATAAAGAAGGAAGGGGGGTGTTTGACTAAATATACACAATGGACACTTTGTTGATATACTGACGATTTCTGGGGTTTGTGCATGCTCTGCGTCCCTCTCCTTTTTTGGTGTTAATCAGCTAATCATAGTTCCAGTTTCGAGGCAATCGGTAACCCCATAATTGTTCCGTTCCTGTGATAGTGAAAACCCATACAGCACACCCATAACACTTAACACCGCCAGTTGGGAGCATAAAACAAAAGATTATTGACAAAT